TTTAAGGCCAAGCAGACATAGGGCCCTATGATGTCATAGATGGGCTGCATGAATAAATATGTACCCTCCAGGTGAGAGTCATGTTTATTAAAAGGCATTATCAGCATGGGATGTTAGTATGAAAACCAGATTAGAAAACTTAACTATCTGATTAGTACGGTTAATATATAAAGTCAGGTAAGATATCCTTGGTGTGCCGTCCTCTCACAGACCACTTTGTGGTAAAAAAATCTCCAGGGTGCCCTCCCTGAATGTCCTCTTCAGTAAGAGACTTCAGTAAATTCGAGAAGGAAGAAAAAAAAAAAAGGAGTAAACAACTCGTAACACAAACTATTTCTTAACCCCTGAATTCTCTGTCCTCGCTAATGGAAAAATTAGCTCCTTATGCATGAGAGCTGATGTTGGTTTGTTGTTATTATTAGCGAGGCAATTATTCACTCAGCACAAGAAGAAAAAAGCCAATATATTCTATCAGGGAAGAGCTAGTTTTTCAGGCAGACTACACATAGTCTGAACATTGGGACAGAATTTAAATCAGCCACCAAATGAGTTAATCTAACACAAAGCTTAGATTGAAAACCTTGCCATTGGGAAAGAATACCAAAACGGCTGTTAACCATAAATACCAAACAGAGAGGAATCCGCTCAACCCATCGGTCATGTGCAGTGTTCAACGCGCTCTAGACAGTCAGGAAAGGGAAAGCGGAGGGGGCATTTCTCAAGAACTCTCTGAAATGACTGTATGACGACAAATGAGGATGAGAGTAAGAAAAAAGAAGACCAGAGCTTACACTATGTTGCATTGTCCTCCACACAATCCTCTGGGAAGCAAGAGGAAAACAAATTTAAAGGAAAAAGAAAGAGAGATTATTCTATACATAATAGCACAGCACAGGTATAACATTTAGCTTTGCAGGCTGACCGTTGTTCATTGGTTTATCATTTGATGTCAAATGATAAATCTGGCTGGCATTCTACCCACCCCCGCCCCAGACTCCCTCAGAATGACCAGCAGAATACTCAAGAAGCCTGTACAACACAGTCCAATGTTGAATACTTACTGGAGGTTCATTGGTCTAAATCATCACCAACTTCATGAATTAACTTCCACATCTGTTATTTTTTTTTCTTTGAAATCTACTTTTATAAAACACGTTCTTCTAAGATACACCATTTAAAGTATATTTTGCTCTGATGAGTCCCTGGGGTAAGTAACAGACATTCCCTGCCCCATGTGTCCAGGAGTTATAGAGCATGTTTAATAATCTGAAATATCTCTGTATTCTCAGATCTTCACACTCGAGTTCTTTTTAGGTTGAGGTAGTTTTTACAAGTCTGTACTTCCAGTGACATTCCAGTGGAAGTTTTTTTTAAAAAACCTCACAGTTTCATGTCAAATTATGTAAGAGAATTCATGAAGTATAAACTTAAGAAAAAAAGGAAGAAAAATTGATCTTTTGCAAATAATCACCGCTGGCCTATTTAACTGAAAATCAGTAACAGTAGGGAGACAGAGGGCCCCTAGATTGGGTGTTGGTAACAGGAAAGACATGTGACTGTAGGACCAATCTGTTAACCAAAACACTTGATGGCATTTGTATCTTCAGCAAACCACGGTTGCTGGCAGGAAGGACTGTGATAGTCTTTGATGAGTCAGCTTTTCATCAGCCGCTGAATTTATACAAATGTATTCATTCATTATTGGATAATAAAAATAACTTCAGGGTAGTATGTCTGAAAGCCACTGATGACCTAAACTGATTTTTATGCCCATATAACTTTAGAGGAACAACGGGAAAAGCTTCCTAGTGATATAAAAGAATTTACAAGTTCCTTAAACATCTAATAGAGGTTAAATGGTGGAATTGGTGTATTTTTAAGAAAGAGTTTTATTTTAATTATTTTACATTAGTTCTAGCAGCAGCTGGCCCAGGCTGGGATGCGGAGCTTTACTTCTAAAACAATACCCATAATTAATTACCAGTTCACCTAAAATATAAGAACACCGACCAAAAGATTCCCAAGTTAATTAAAACAGGTACTCATTTTAAGTGGTAGTAAGAAGCAACTCCCCAAGGGCTTTACAATTTAGTTATTTTCCCTTTGGCAAAAGCAGTGGGGTGACTGGGATATTCTTCTGATGCTGTTCTTAAAGCATTTTTCCTGCTGAAACACTGAGAAATTAAGGAAAGTCTTTCCTAAATATCCTCCTTTTCTGGGACACACGCTTCTTATAAATATTCAGGAAACATCTCTTCAGAAGGGAATTAAAGCAGGAGTAGGTAACATGAGACTTGTTTATAAACAGTCAAAATAAGGGGAAATATATGGCAGACCCATCAAAAGAGGTCACCAACGCATGCATCTTGAAGATGATTTGATCTGACTGTTAACATATAAGCTGTCACGGAAACAGTTGGTCTGAGGTAACTGCTTTATCGTTCCACTTTTCAGAAATACGTTGAACCCTCCAAGGGAAGAAAGCCTTGGGGGAGCCAAGGGCTGCAAAGGAAGTTTCTGATGTTAGCTTTGGGCCTAGTCTGTGTTTTTCAAGAATAACCTTGTATAGTTCCTCTTGATGTGGAAACAGCCCCTTGTCCTTAGGGACCGGGATAGTGACTCCAGGTCACTTTACGGCAATTACAAATCACTAATTTGTACAATTTGGGAATTTCACTCAATAAAACCTTAATAAATCTGCCATTCTCTCTTACAGAGCCCAAAGCCACACCTATGAGGAAGTTAAGTACTACGTGGTGTCAGAGAACATTTTAGAATAAAACTGACTTATTGATTTAAAGTCCTGTGCACTGAATCTGGCCCTTATGCACCCAGTCTGGTCTTTGGTTTTTACCCATGATCATATGATTAACCATTACTGATCCTTTTCAAAAAAAAAAATGGATTAAAATATATTTGGGGGGGGTGCCTAAAAACAGAAGAGCCTAAATCAGTTTGTTATTTGCCAATACTCTTCAAGATCTTTGCATTGGGGGCATTTTGAAGATCATCAGTGAATTTCCTTTCTAAAAGAGGGTTCAAATACTAATTTCCTTATCTATCAGATATTACACATCAGGTGACAATCAGAAAGCATTAATGCTTTATTTAGGTTGTGCTAAATTGCATACACACTGCAAGACAAATATTTTTCTTGCTCTATCTCCCCTGTTTGAGTGTGTGTGTGTGTGTGTGTGTGTGTGCGTGTCTATCTCTCCTGGGGAGGAGAGAAAAGTGTGCTTGTTTCAAAGGGAAAAAAACATTAATCAGTAGTCATAGATATCATTATATTGATCCACTTCAATGTAATTTTAACTAAGTGCATAATGCACCCAAGTTGTTTTTAAATTTTACTTTATTGTGGTAGGAACACTTAACAGGAGAGCTACTCTCCTAATAGATATTTAAGTGCACAAAACAAGATTGTTATCTGTAGGCACAATGTTGTACTGCACATCTCTATGATTTACTCATGTTGCACTGTGCCCCAGTTCTTAAATTAGAATTTATGAAAACTCCAAAAAAACCTGCATTATTCCAATAAGTAAGTTAGAGCCAACTAAAGTGGAGAAAACAAAAAAAGAGAAAGAGAGTGAGAGAGAGAGAGAGAGGGAGGGAACTCAAACCCATACTCACCATTTACTCTGGTGAAAAGGATCTTAACAGACAGAGTTGGTAAAATGAAAACTCAAACAATGGGGTGTCATGCCAACCATCCAGTCTTTAAAACAATTGGCTAGTGGTTCAGGGGACTCTAATTGGTTATTTAAAAGAAGAAAGGCGACTACTTTTAAACACTTCCTGAAACTGGGAAAGGAGAATAGACAGGACCAAGGTAACATAGGAGGTGGAAACAATACCCAGATGAGTCCTTTTTCAAGAGCTACACTGGAGAGGGGTTTTATTTGCTAATAAACAGGAATAAATTATAACATAATTTAGCAGCTAATGACTTCACTTACCCCTTCACTTTGGCTCCTCGTGGTAGGCCTTTCTGCTGTAAGTACATGTGATTTTTATAGACTGAGATGCTGAGATGTACTTACATGGAGGCCACACTCAACCAGTTTAATCTTATGAGTCCTACACTGCAGAAGGATAGTGACTACAATGATAAAGTAATTTATAACAGTGACTAATAAAAGTATTTTCATAACCAGAAATCCTGGAGATCTGAGTTTATATGACATAATCAGATGTGGTTCAAGTATTTTATGACCTTAAGGTTTTATCTGTTAATTTTACATCAGGATAATTGGAAGGCAATGTGAACCGTGCTAACAATTACAGGTATATAAATTGTTTATAGTGCTATAAATTGCATTGAAAATAATCGGGCAGTATTTCTTTGAAATTATGAGCTTTTCATTTTTTATAGCAAAATTTGATTTTTAAAACACATTTAAAAAAATGGTGTTTACTATGTTTATGGTTGTATTTTCCAAGTGAATTGCTTTGCTGGTAGATATCGTTTGGTCCCCTGACATACATTTAGTGGATTAAAGGGTGACTATTTTTAAGGCTTCCAACTTTTAAAAGAGACACAAAAAAAGAAAAAAAAATAGTAGTAACATTGACTTGGGATCTCTTGGCAAGGTCTTTCAAACAGAAAACTTTACACACAAGAAGGCAGAATAAAATCGCACTGTAACATAACTAAATAAGTAACAGAAGCAGGTGAGGAAGAAATGTGCTATTATAATTATATCTCTGGAAGATATAGTAACTTAGTCTTCAGATTAATATTTCAGAAGATATATGAAATTGAAAATTTGGCCACCGCCTGAGTGGATTAATAGTGATAAGATGCCTTAAATAATCTAATTCATGACCTAAAAGGAAGATCTCATTATTTTTCAATATTCTAATTAAGACCAGGAGCAGATATAAGAAGGAGATGACTTTTACAACCAACTTTTTCAGAGTCCCATCACGTCTCCTGAAGAACAACCTTGGTAACGGAAAGTGCCCACAATAGCCATCAATCTGAGAGAACTCACCAGCCGGTCCAAGCTTGTGCCTGCAGCAGTCGTGGGTCTCTCCTCAGGATTGTAAGGCCTGAACCGCGTATTAAAATTTTCAGGAGCTGAGCGAGCAGATCGGAGGGCTGGAGCAGGTTTGGGTTGGCCACACCCCTGAAAGACCTGCAAGAACCATTGAAAGGGTAAGACAGTTACACCAGGAGTTTCTTCATGAGATCATGGTGCAGAAGCAGGCAATGCAGTGGGTGTCCCATTTTTCACGGGACCCTACCTCGAATAAACTCTAATCTCTAAATTTAATGGGGGACAACTGCTAATATAACAAGAACCAACTAGACAGATGTAGGGTGCCTGACTCTATGCCTTGACTCTTATTTTCAACACATACACTCAGTCCTCGTTATTTACGGATTCTGTATTTGCGAATTTGCCTACTCGCTCAAATTACTTTGCAAGCCCCAAATCAATAGTCATGCACTTCTGTAGACGTGGGCCTCCATGTAGAGTGGCCCTACATGCATGGTCCCAGCTGCAGCTGAACGAAGTGATTTTCTGCCTTCTTGTTTCAGCTACCATCCTGAAAACAAGTGTCCTTTCTGTGGCCTCTTCTGTGCCCGTCTTTCTCATTCTTGTGCTTTTACTTGCAATGTCCCTGTTTAAGATGGCCGCCCGAGCTCAGTGCTAAAGGGCTGTCTGCTGTTCCTGCGCACAAGGTGTAGTGCGCTAGGCCCTGAGTTCAATATTGATGACTCCACAGTACATGCTAAATAAGGTGTCTTTAAGAAGAGTTACACATAGGTTGCCTATTGGCTGGTTGGCGAAAAGAAGGCTAAAAACTTCCAGGAGCCTAGCCCTGTCTTTCCAGCAATTCAATATTTGCTAATTCTGTATTTGCAGCCACTTTATGAAACATAACTACCACAAATATTGAACATCGACTGTATTAAAAGTAGGAATTGCAATAGCTACACGTCAGGGCTAAATGAACGTGACTGAGATGTTTTCATGTGTTTGAATCTGCCATGCGGCAAATATCCAAGTGGGATTCCCGTGACGGTGACAGAAGTATTTCGTGTCCAGCACCCATGGCCAAATAACCTGGGCGACCCCACTGTGGATAAGGAAAACCTGTACTTGGAAGAGTTCTTTGAAAATACTCTTTGGAGCCAAGTTGTAGAAATAGGACAAGCCAACGTGGTGAAAAATCCCTAGAAGGACAGCTCCTTCTAATTTTGTTGTTGATAGCTGTTCATGTGACAGTTGGGTTTGCTGTGGGAAATCAAACATTTTTGTGTAATGATCTTAGGGACCAAGCAGTCAGCTCTTTCCCACAGTGATTTCATTCAGGGTGGGGTGGGGACACTTCCTTGGCTGTTTTTAGAAGCTTCCTACTCTCCGCTGGTTATCAAGAGATAATACCTTTACTAAAAGGACAAAAACTCTAGTCACATTTTCAGGAACTTTTGATGAAGTTGAACTAGACGTTTCCTCCATTTTTCTATAGGAGGCGGTGATTCTACTCTTTGCTACTTATTTCGGTTAGCTTTCTGGAACTATTTGTGTTAGCTAATTCTTTTTTTTTTTTTTTAAAGATTTTATTTATTTATTTGACAGAGAGAGAGAGTGAGCGCAAGCAGACAAAGGGAAAAGCTGGCTTCCCGCTGAGCAAGGAGCCCGATGTGGGCTTCAATCCTAAGACCTTGGGATCATGACCTGAGCTGAACCCACTGGGCCAACCACACACCCTGCGTCTGCTCATTCTTAACCTGCATGTGTGTGTTTAGAACGCATGCATGCCTTTTGGTTTTGTTATTTAAATCTGCTTTACTCTAAAATAAGCATTTTTCATCAGGCATATTATGGGATTCCACTGAAATACACAGAGAGCTCTCCGAGTGCCATTTCCAATGACAAATTCCATCTCGAGACACAATCCATTTGGTGTTACCACTCCAGCTAATTTCTCTTTGGTCGTATTCAAAAGTTCTCCTTCAACTCAGCATTTCAGGGAGCAGGAGCACTTTGTCTTGGCATACTTCAAGATCGGTCTTAACACACTATTGATTATTCTTCTCTCACACAATTTCTGAAGCTGATGGTGTAAACCAGCGTGATAAAGATAGTGGGCCCTTTTCTCCCTAGTGCCTAAATCACTTCCCAGTGGCAAGGTCACTGCTGATGGAGGACATTAACATTTCCAGAGCTCCAGGGTTTTGTTGAGTGTGCTATTGCGGCTTGCTCCAGATATGACAGCTGACTTTTAGAAAGTGGAAAGCCTAAGGCAAAACAATGCTAATGGCCTTGCTGGGGATTTCTTGAAGTCGGGGCACTGAAAGAGTTAACAGACCTTCTTAATTTGCCCTTTGGGAAAAATCTGGCTCACAGGTTTAAATTAAATCAAAGGAACAAGAAATGCCCTGAAAGAATATTAGGGCCCAGGGGAGATAACTCATCATAACAGGAAAACCTTACCACGTGTTTGATTTTTTTTTTTTTTTTCGAGAGTGTTAATTATACAGAACATGAGTTAAGTCAATATAGCCTAGGAGCCTTTTGTTATTTAAATCAGGTTTGGATTTTTAAGGTGGCTTGAGTGCAGACATTGCCGAGAGTATGATCCAAAAGGAAGAAAACACTGCCTTGTAATCATGATGGAAAGGGCACCTCACCTCAGAATCAGCGGGAGACCTCTGGAAAAATCTGTCATATGTCAGGATATGAACCTTGAAGGTCCCTCAACAGATTCTAGTTCACCCTTAGGCAAAAAGGCACGTCGTAAGGAGACCCTTCTCTGTGGAAGGGGCACGCCAAGGGGTCAAGAGTTGGTTTTCAGAACTTTATAGGATCTGAATGGAAGAGCTGGCAAGGAGACGGGCGCGCCCACATGCTCAGGAAGGATGAGCAGCCCTTGTCTGATTCTCACGGCAGAGACTGTACCGTAAGCAGCCTCTATCCCCTCTATCCATCTTATTACTTAGATGAGTCACAAACGGAAAAGCAACGCCTTCATGTATCACACGTGCAATCTGTTAGTTAGACAACATGTTTTTAAAACCTGGGGTTTGGGCGCCTGGGTGGCTCAGTTGGTTAAGCGACAGCCTTCAGCTCAGGTCATGATCCTGGAGTCCTGGGATCGAGTCCCGTGTCCGTCTCCCTGCTCAGCAGGGAGTCTGCTTCTCCCTCCGACCCTCTCCTCCTCATGCTCTCTCTCTCTCTCAAGTTAATAAATAAAATCTTTAAAAAAATAAATCCAACCTGGGGTTCATGGAATGGATGATGAAAGGAATTCTTACGCAGGACATTCGGATCGTCTCCGACCATTTTCTGAGCTTACTGTAGCCGCAGTATTGTCAAGACAAAGCTCTGTGGCTTACTCTAAAAGACCAATAAGCCTTTTTCCTGGTGGTTTAGAGAACCCTAATATATTGTGTTTTGAATAAGGGAAGAAACAGATGAGGGACAATGTGGGTCATTTAGGTGAGAGGTTTAAATGAGGTTAGTTTCCATGAGAATCAGTAGATCAAGATTCTGTTCTGAGGGGTGGTCAGGGCTGGAGATGTAGGTCTGGGACACTAGCCTAAGAGGGTACTTAAAGCCCAGGGCAAGTATGTGGATGAGTGCAGGTGCGGCTGAGGACAGCCCAGTGCCATGCCAACAATCAGGTCCTCCCTGAACCTCAGTTTCCTCCTCTGTCAAACGGGATACTAATATTATTCCCCACACTGTGATGATAAAATGCAGTACGTAAGGCAGGAAAACAGAAACCAGCATCTGGAAAAGTAAGGGCTTGACAATAATTAGCTACTTAACGTTATTCTACAACCGTTTTCTTTCTAGAGGTTTTGTTTTCTGAGTTAGGACATTTGAGGGGAAAAAAACATCTGGGCTGATGTTTCTTCAATGTTTTCCACAAAATAATGTTTCCAAGGGTTGTTAATGGTTGTTACATGAGCAATAAATGCCACGCGTCCAAGTGAAGTTAGGTATTTTGGCGGGACTTGGTCATATGAATGTGTGTTCAGACTTATCAAAAGGGAGGTCCTTTGCAGTAACTCCTAGTTTGGTCACAGGCTCCCCAGAGGGTCAGGAGGTTCTCCCTGGATGGGGTCCCAGGGAACACACCGTGGGCTGCTCTGTGAAGTCTGCTCTACCTGACCAAGGGAAGTGGTTCACATTCAGACACATTGACTTAGAGGAGTTTGTGAATCCATTCTACCGTTCACTATGTTCTTTCTCTCTCTCTTTTTTTTTACATAAAACAATTTTTTAAAGTTGAATTATATTTGACGTATGTTATTATATTAGTTTCAGGTGTACAACATAGTGATCCGATATTCTTACCCACTGCAAAATGATCACCTCGATAGTCTAGTTACCATCTGTCACTATAGAAAATGATTACAGTATTATTGACTATATTCCCTATGCTGTACTCTATATCCCTGTGACTTTTTTTTTTTTTTAAATAACTGGGCATCTGTCCATCTTAATCCCATCCACCTGTTATACCCCCTTTCCTTCTGGCAACTATGCTTGGTCTCTGTTATCTATTAGTCTGTCTCTGTTCTGTTTTGTTTGTTTTGTTTTCTAGATTGCACATATGAGTGAAATCATTTGGTATTTGTTTTTCTCTGTCTGATGTATTTCACTTAGCATAGTCCCTCTAGGTCCCTCCCTGTTATGGAAAATGCAAGATCTCATTTTTTTCAATAGCTGAGTAATATTTTTATATATATAAATTTATTTTTATATTTATATTCATATATATTTATATAATATATAATATGTATAAATATATATAAATATAATATATAAATATATATAAGTATAATATAATAAAGTTATATTTATGTATTATATTATAATATATGATATATAATATATGTTATATTTATATTATATATGTGTATATATATACACATTTTCTTTATCCATTCATCTATTGATGAATAGTTAGGTTGCTTCCATATCTTAGCTATTGTGCTGCAATAAACATAGGGGTACATATATATTTTCAAATTAGCATTTTTGTTTTCTTTGGATAAATATCCAGAAGTGAAATTCCTAGATGGCACGGTAGTTCTATTTTTAATTTTTTAAGAAACCTCTGCACTGTCTGTAGCGGCCGCCCCAATTTATATTCCCACCAACAGTGCTTGTGC